CTAAGCATAGAGCGCAGATGATATTTCACGGGAAGATATGCAGCCTGTGAAGAGGCCAAATAAGAGGGCGGATAATTATCATCTCTGAGCTCTTGAATGGAGTTTAACGCTATGAGAGTCTCTTTTGGGCCCAAAGAGACTGAGTTTACACATCCAGGAGTCTGTGTGTGTGAGGACTGGTTTTGGTGGTTTACAAAGAGAGTTTTTTTGTATAATGGTTAAGACCTAGTTGTACTCTTGTGTCCTTGTAGGTCAAAACACTTCAAAATCATACTTAATAGGGTCTTTTCACATTTAAATCTTGCCTCAGGTTTTCTGTAAGGGGAGGGTTTAGGGGCAAGGGGTAGGATGGGACATACAGTATAATGTGTTTTTACTATATAATATACATTATGCCTATTGAGGGTCACTGTAAATCACCAGTGTGTGTGCTCGTTTGTGTGTATGCATGTGTGTGTGGTTCTATAGCAGCTTAAATGCCCTTCAACTTGGATGATCGACTGATCAGTCTGACTGATATGAGGGTCACACTCTATACTTTATCTACACGCCTTTTTCTTTCTGATACAGACACATCGTCTGTCACATCTGTGTAGATTAGAAAGCTGAGGTGTGGCTTCACAGAGCATGACGGTGGACAAACTAAAGAGTGCAGCAGGAGACTGACTGAAAGAGTGATGGAGTGTAGGGCTGTGCCATTTGGGGAAAATATCGAATTGTGATTTTTTTTTTTTGACAGATATTGAGATTTCGATTTAATTTACGATTTCATTTTGTAATCAAGCTTTATGTGATTAGCCTAGGAATTTACCGGAGGAAGCTGTGTATGCTTTATGAGATCTCAAAATTCTCATGCGAGTGCCATTCATGCCTGCTATTCTCATGTAAATTCACCAGAGGTCACTGTCACTGACTGACTGACTGACTGACTGACTGACTGACTGACTGACTGACTGACTGACTGACTGACTGACTGACCCACCCACCCTCTTCCCTAAACCCAACCAATAGTGTTTTCAAAAGCACTCATTGACCCACCCACCCTCTTCCCTTAACCCAACCAAGTGTTTTCAAAAGCACCGATTGACCCGCCCACTTTCTTCCCTAAACCCAACCAATAGTGTTATCTAAAGCACTGATTGACCCGCCCACTGCCTTCCCTAAACCAAACCAAGTGTTTTCAAAAGCACCGATTGACCCGCCCACTTTCTTCCTTAAACCCAACCAATAGTGTTATCTAAAGCACTGATTGACCCGCCCACTGCCTTCCCTAAACCAAACCAATAGTGTTTTCAAAAGCACCGATTGACCCGCCCACTTTCTTCCCTAAACCCAACCAATAGTGTTATCTAAAGCATTGATTGACCCGCCCACTGCCTTCCCTAAACCAAACCAATAGTGTTTTCAGAAGAACCGATTGACCTGCCCACCCCTTCCCTAAACTCAACCAATAGTGCTTTCAAAGGCACCAAATGACCCGCCCACTTTCTTTCCTAAATCCAATCAATAGTGTTTTCAGAAGCACTGATTGACCTGCCCAGCTCTTTACCCAAACCCAACCAATAGTGTTTTGAGAAGCACCGATTGACCTACCCAACCCCTTCCCTAAACCCAACCAATAGTGTTTTCAAAAGCACTGATTGATCCACCCACCCCTTTCCCTAAATCGAACCAATAGTATTTTCAAAAGCATCGATTGACCCGCCCACTGCCTTCCCTTAACCCAACCAATAGTGTTATCTAAATCACTGATTGACCCTCCCACCGCATTCCCTAAACCCAACCGACAGTGTTTTCAAAAGCACCAATTGACCCGCCCACAGCCTTCCCTAAACCCAACCGACAGTGCTTTAAAAAGCACTGATTGACCCGTCCACCGCCTTCCCTAAACCCAACCGACAGTGTTTTAAAAGGCAATGTAAAAAAGTAAAAATTCCTCGCCTGATTTTTACCACGTTTTCAGATTTTACCACATTCTCACCCTGTAATTTTGTTTTCGTCTTACCCGCTTTCTGGAACTGTTTTTCACCAGACTCGACCCAGTCATCGCGGTTAACTCCTCTCTGCAAGTCCATAGAAACACATGGCTAGCTCGCAAACTGGTTACAGCGGGAAAGCTGCCCATTCGGAGGTAAGTGGTCAGCTGGTAAGCGCAATAAGAAAGGGCGTCATACCGCCCCATAGTGTTCATTTTAAAGACAAAATGCAGCCATACGTTCTTCTGGCTACATAATTCACAATGTATATAGGGCTACGAATGAGCCTGTAATCATTGTAATCATGGAAAGTTGCCATTGTACTGTAGTTGTTATTCACAGCATAAATATCGAGACTGTTGTTTGATAGTTAAATGATCATATTTGATTTTTAGGGTGCTATCTGAAAATCTGTCAAGAGGCAACAGAATAAAATGAGCCAACTCTGGCTTTTTTGCAGTGACTGAGTAAATAAAATAAATCAGAAATGCATAAAAACTAAACAAGTTTGTTTGAATTTGATTTGATTTTTACTTTAATTTATTCAATCCTATTTGAATCCAATCTATTTGCTACCTCAACTCGATTTTAAAAGCATCACCAATGAATTCTGAAAGGCATCCAACCAAGTTGCATCAAGTGTGAGTTATCATGCACACTTGAAAAGACCAATCAGAACGCATCATTCATATGCACAACTGGGCTTCTCACCAGCACCACATTCAAAACACCACTGGTGCCTTTAATGAACTGCCAAAGAAGCTTCAGGAAAAAATCAGAGCAGTTCACTGCCATGCATCTGAACGCAATAAGACTGTTCTGCTTGAGCAATGACAGCAGCTCGGATGATGTGAAAACTGCTGAATGACACATTTTAACAAGCCATTTTACACTGTCAGAAATCTCAATATCAAGAGTTTTAAAATCCAAACTTCTGGCTGTCAAAGCAGAAATGTGCAAATTGATACAACTAAACTAGACGGCCCACTTTACTACACTGTAAAAACAAAACTACTTCAGCTTTATTATACACACTCCTCTGAAACAAATCCATTTCATTTATAGTAACAAACTAGCAACATTTCAGAATCTGGCTGTAAGCAATGACACAGCGACTACTCACTACATCCATGTATCCTAGCAGCTATTAAGAACACCTGCATAACCACTAGCCAAGCAACTAGTTACAACATTCAGACATCCTGGCAACACCCTAGCAACCATTCAGAAAATCAAAGAAAAGTTATACAACTGCCTACTATACAATACCACTGTATCCGAGCAACCATTCAACCCCCTCGTATCCAAGCAACCATTCAACACCCTTGTATCTAAGCAACCATACAACACCATCACATCCAAGCAACCATTTAGAACATCAAAGAAAAGTTATACAACTGCCTACTGTACAATACCCTCGTATCCAAGCAACCATACAACACCCTGTATCCAAGCAACCATTGAGAACATCAAAAAAACTTTACGACTGTCTACTGCACAACACCCTGTATCTAAGCAATAATTCAACACCCCCGTATCCAAGCAACCATTCAGAACAAAGAAAAGTTATACAACTGCCTACTGTACAACACCCCCGTATCCAAGCACCCAATCAATACCCTTGTATCCAAGCAATCATTCAGAACATTAAAGAAGTTATACAACTGCCTACTGAACAACACCCCCGTATCCAAGCAACCATTCAATCCCCTCATGTCCAAGCAACCATTCAACCCCCTCGTATCCAAGCAACCATTCAACACCCTTGTATCTAAGCAACCATACAACACCTTTGTATCCAAGCAACCATTGAGAACATGAAAGAAAAGTTATACAACTGTCTACTGCACAACACCCTTGAATCCGAGCAACCATTTAACACCCTTGTATCCAAGCAATCATTCAACACCCTTGTATCTAAGCAACCATACAACATCCTCGTATCCAAGCAACCATTCAGAACATCAAAGAAAATTACACAACACCCTACTGTAAAACATCCTCGTATTCAAGCAACCATTTACCACCCTCGTATCCGAGAAACCATTTAGAACATCACAGAAAAGTTATACAACTGCCTACTGTACAACACCCTCATATCCAAGCAACGATTAAGCGCATCTAAGAAAAGTTATACCACTGCCCAGATTACAACACCCTCATATCCAAGCAACCATTCAACACCTTCATATCCAAACAACCATACAACACCCTTGTTTCCAAGTAAATATACAACAAGCTGGTATCCAAGCAACCAATCAGAACATCAAAGCAACATTATACAACTGCCTACTGTACAACACCCTTGTATCCAAGCAACCATTCAACACCCTCGTATCAAAACAACCATTCAACACCCTCATATCCAAGCAAATATACAACAAGCTCGAATCCAAGCAACCAATCAGAACATAAAAGCAACATTATTCAACTGCCTACTGTACAACACCCTTGTAGCCGAGAAACCATTCAGAACATTTATTTAAAGCAATAGCCTATAAGCGTCTAGTGATGACAATATAAGCAAAGACTCTAGTTGCAATCTAATCTAGTTATTCTTCAAATTGCAAATGGTAGTTTCCCGTCCATCAGTGTGTAATCTCTCTCTCTCTCTCTCTCTCTCGCTGCATTACTGTCAGGCCTATAACTGCTCTAGATGTCTATTATCACAGGATGATTCTGTGAAGAAGTCATGCCCTCCTCATCTTTCCTTCAATCTTCCGCCATCATGCATCGCTCTCCAAATCATTCATTAATTCCCGCAGCACACGGAACACCCAAAGAACCAGTCAACAAAGAGCCAAAATGGAGGCCCTTTCATCCACTCAAGAATGTTTGATTTGGACCAAAACCGTCTCGATTCCCTCGACTGGATGTTGGTTAAAAGAAACAATTGATTCCAGCAGAGCTTCAGATCGATACGAGGCTCTTACAAAAGTGCTTTAGACGGCCCACAATTTACAACCAGAGCTGCTAATCCACAGAGGAACGCTAGCGATTCCAAACCCAACAGCGTTTGCTCACCGAGTTCAGGTCGAGGTTGCTTTGGACCCATTCCTTTGCTTCTTCATACTCCTCCATGAGGCCCATGATGTACAGTGTGTCCAGGGAATCCACGATTGAGGCTCCTCGAAGACCACCTGAAAACAGAACACGTATAACATATGAAGTCACTATCGATTTTCATCCAAAATTTATGTGCAAAGGTGGAATAAACATTTGTAAATAAGTCAGTGTTTATATCCAATGAGTCAAAGGTCCCATCCTAATTCTATTTTTCTATCCATTCCCCTTCCCCTTGGCCCTTGAAACAGAATGTGAAGGGGAAGGGCTTCAAAATTTACCCCTTACCATACGCTCACACCGAAAGCGGCGAAAGCATCAAAGTAGCCAGAAGCGATTCGTTTCCAATGAGAGCCGGTGGCGATAAGTGGCGAGGAGCAGCGCGGTGCGTCTTCGCCGGCGTGGGCGTCGAGGAGAGATGAAATCAAGTCAACTTTATGGTAATGAGTAGGGATGTAACGGTATTGTAAATACCGTCATACCGCAATATAAATTTTTTTCGATATTACCGTAGGCGCATGACTCGGTAAAACTATAGGTCTTCTGAGAAAATTTGCTCAGGCGAATGAAGCGAACGGGAGGTAGCGAAAACTACAATTCCCATCAGCCCATGCTTGACCATCATCCCTTGCGGTCTGTTGTCGCTACAGATCCAGTAATGCGGAAATGGAGTGTGCTGCTAGAAGCGGGGATGAAAAAGAGCTGGAAAACTCTAAAGCGGGTGTTGTCGCCGCGCGCGTACTGAATAGCAGTGTTGTCGCGCGAGTTCTTATCAGCTGTGTTGTCGCGCGCGTACTGAATAGTGGTGTTGTCAGCACACTGTTCAGATTGATGCAGACATGAGACCTCTATCTCACTCATGGTTTGTCCTCTCAAGTGGGGGAAAGACAATGCACAACGTTACCCACTGCTGTCAACCTGGGCCAAGTCATATCTCTCTTGTCCCAGAAACCTCAGTCCCAAATGAGAGGTTTTTTTTTCTGTTGCAGGGGACATTGTAAATACCCAGAGATACCAGCTTTTACCAGATTATATTTATATGATAATTTTCCTTTAAACCCATCTCTAAGTGAGTGAGTGATTAAATGTTGAATGTGATGAGTTTTCAGCAATACTAAATTGAAACTTTATTTTTTTACATGGTTTAATATTTTTTTGTTATTAAAATTGAAGTTCCTGTTTCAAAGCTTACAGATAGATGGCTAATTTGTATGTCATTGACACTTTTGGCACTTTTTTGGAGTGTTTTCATAAGTTTTGTTTTTTCCTGTAAATGATTCAATAAATACCGTACCGTGACATTCATACCGAGGTATTACCGTACCGTGAAATTCTGATACCGTTACATCCCTAGTAATGAGCTATGACGCGGTTCGGCAGCACGCAGTGAGAATGAAGACGTCCACCGCTTGAGAGGAGTTCAGAGAACACAGACCTCTGAACTTTGGTTCCGACCACACTTGTTCCCAAGGGTTTGATGATTGAGGTCGCCGGATTTCCAATTATTTACAATGTTCTTACAAGAACATGCATTAAATAAGATACTGGTGAGTTACTGATGTGCATTAATGTTATACTGTATATATTTATCTTAAAAAAGCGGGAATCTCACGCGACGTGACTGTACAAAACAGTACTGCTGCTTCAGGATATTTCAGACATATGGACACATATTGGATAAATAGAGCAAAGCCACACCACACACAACTTGATCTTCCATTGTTATATGAATTTGATAAGAAGTGTGCAAGATTTTCACGCTAGAAACATGTTTTATGCAGGAATGTAACTGATATGCTGCAACGGCTCCTTTAAATACTAGATCAATATAGCGAGTTTTGACGCTCTCGCCGCCGGAGCTAAAGGCAGACAGCGTTGTCGCCAGGGCGGCCAGAGCGACCTTGGACGCTCTCGCCGCTTTCGGTGTGAACGTATGGTAAGAAATGGGACAGCACTACAACACCTGCAACACATGTCTTCATATGTCATCAATCTCTTGCTTCGATTGACGATCACAACTGCTCTAGTTATTCCAGTTGCATTATTTTTGTATTTATCTTCAGGAAATCACTGAAGGCATTTATTATGTTATCATAATGATATAATGTGGCAATAAGATCATATCTGCACTGTGTGTTTACACTGTGGCTATAATCATCTACAGGTATGGCTACTGAGAATGTGCGAATGATTTAAAGAGAAATCACACCCCTCCGCAGTAACGTGCGTCAAACCGCAACATGATCCAACACAAAACATACATGACCAGCAGGGGGCAGTTATGTAACATGGTGAGCATACTGAACTGATACAGTATACTGAGCATGTGAGCTACCTGTAAACGATGTGAAAATGGCATTCTCTAGGCAGCTGTGTGTGTTATCTTAAACTATAGAGTTTAACTGTTAAAAATGCAGATTTTTGAGTGTCTATTTAGGCTAAGTGCAAATAGCGCACCTCGTTGGAATAAGCTAGCATCTAAACATGTACGACAACTACCTGTAAGTCAATGGAAATGCGGTTGTTCCTTGCGCCACCTGGTGGCTATTGAGTACAGAAATGTTGAACGAAATGAAACGGCGGATTTTACTGCCGCAGTATTGCACGTGACTGCAGTTGACATTGCAATATTGCGCATGCAGAAATGCACGTTATCAGTAGCCATATTTGTATGTAAACAGAGATGTGAACGTATGTTGTGGGACTATACAGGAGTTATTATTATGGATTGTAACCAAATTTAGCTCTTTTTATTGAAACGTTTTTTTTTCATTTGTTAAAAACATTCGTAATAATGACAAAAAAAATAAATATTTGTGCATCTCCTTCTGTGTGCAGCGGTTGGACACATTTTAGCTCTATCTCTGCTATAACGTTACAGCGCCTCTGGCCACGGCCCTTAGCCCGCAGTGTGTGTGCGCGGTAAAAGTACCTTTGTGATCTCACAAGGCCCGGAAGTATTTTTTGTTGGCCTCAAAAGTCGTTCATTGTAGGCTTTGCTAAGCTAACGCTGTAAAACCCAAGGTCTCCCTTTGCATTGAACTTTAAGCTTTTTGAGCGTCCGACAGATTGCACTATTATGTTTTTCTCTTCTTCTTCATTCTTTTATATCACATTTTACCTGTTTTTATGTTTTTTTACTCATTTTTTTATTTGTTTTTATTTTTATTTTACTTGTTTCTTTAATTCTTGTTTATGTAAAGCACTTTGAATTGCCATTGTGTATGAAATGTGCTATATAAATAAACTTGCCTTGCCTTATATTTAGAGATGTTGTTTATGTTTACACAGCTACATTACACATCAAATTAAGTTTAAATATGATATCGTAGTGGACAACCCCTTTAATGAACTACAACTCCCATCATGCACGCCACACTCACCAAGAATATAAAAATACATATACGTAATTACATTTAGATCATTTTCTGAAGACAATCACCTACTGCTCCTTTAACTACTGGCTTATTGCCAGGACCAGACGAAATCTGCAACGTGTTTTGCTATTTCTGTGGAGAATTTTGGTAAAAATCTGCGGATTTCTGCGGAATTATTTTGGGAGTATCATAACTAAAACCTTAATATATAAAATAAAAAGTACTACCTTTTTAACTTTTATTTAATGTTTAAAGTGCAAATAAAATTAGATATTTGATTCACTTCATTTGGTAAACGAAACAAGTCTCTCATATAATATCTCTACTAAAAGACAGAAAATATTACTGTACAAACTGTGTTGTACATAAATCAGATGAACATTTTCATATTAATCAATAATACTGCGGTAATTCATTAAAAAACTAATAAATTTGGATTTACACATTTACTCAAGTAAATAAACAGAATTAATGATGGGCTAAAAATCTGCCAAAATCTGCGGAATTCTGTGGAAAATATTCGGAAAATCTGCTGAATTTAGTGGAAAATATGCGGAAAATATGCTGAATTCAGTGGAAAATATGCGGAAAATATGCTGAAAATATCCGGAATTCTGTGGAAAATATGCTGAAAATCTGCAGAATTCAGTGGAAAATATGCTGAAAATCTGCGGAATTCTGTGGAAAATATGCAGAATTCTGTGGAAAATATTCGGAAAATCTACGGAATTCAGTGAAAATCTGCGGAAAATCTGCGGAAAATCTGCGGAATTCTGTGGAAAATATGCGGAAAATCTGCGGAATTCTGTGTGCGCAGATTTCGTGTGGACCTACTTATTGCCTACCTATTATTAAGCTAATAACTAGTTTATTAAGCTACTAGTGTTAGTTAATAATCAGATATTAATCAGTGCTCAATTTGCTGCACCTACAACAAATACGCAAGATACACCACCAACACCACACACACTCACCTCTTTTTCTCAGCTCTCTGAGTCTGAGGTGTCCAAACTCGTGCTATCTAGCCATGCAACCACCTGTCCACTCGATCCCATTCCCTCTCATCTCTTGCAAGCCATCTCTCCTGCAGTCATACCAACACTGACTCACATAATTAACACATCTCTTGACTCTGGTTTAGTCCCCACTTCATTTAAGCAGGCTAGGGTAACCCCACTGCTAAAGAAACCCAACCTGGACCATACGCTACTTGAAAACTACAGACCAGTATCCCTGCTTCCATTCATGGCCAAGATTCTGGAGAAAGTAGTGTTCAATCAAGTCCTGGACTTTCTTACTCAAAACAACCTCATGGACAACAAGCAATCCGGCTTTAAGAAAACTGAGACTGCCCTGCTCTCGGTCGTGGAGGATCTCAGACTGGCTAAAGCAGACTCTAAATCATCAGTCCTCATCTTGCTGGATTTCTCAGCTGCTTTTGACACTGTAAACCACCAGATCCTGCTATCTACGCTTGAGTCACTGGGCGTTGCGGGCACTGTTATACAATGGTTCAGATCTTACCTCTCTGACAGGTCATTCAGGGTATCTTGGAGGGGAGAGGTATCCAACCTACAGCATCTAAACACAGGGGTACCTCAAGGCTCTGTTCTTGGTCTGGTCGTGGTCTTTAAAGGGCCATGACACCCCCCACTTTCGGTTAAAGTCTACTTCAGAATTTTTTCAAAAGATGCATGATT